GAAAATTTATTTTTTCATTTCGGCTTTGTGGTGTATGGAGATTTAAGAATGTACGGAGAAATTTTGAAGTCAATCGGACAAGTATTTTATAAGTTATAAGTATATTAGTTCAAAATAGATATTTTAATTATTAATCGCTGCACAGAAATTAAAAAGAAATTCTTGCACCAAGAACATTTCAAGGAAGATAAAAGTTATTTTGGAGCAAGAAGAAATTTTCTTGGCCATTTTCTCAAGAAATTTCGACTTCATTCAAGAAATTTTCAATCTTCCTTAATATTTTCTTGAGCCAAGAAAATTTACACTCCAATCAAGATTTTTTTTTTCAGTGCAGAAAAAAAAACTTCTTGCACCAAGAAAATTTTAAAGAATACAAAAGTTATTTTGGAGCAAGATGAAATTTTCTTGGCTCAGAAAACTTTGACTTCATTCAAGAAATTTTCAATCTTCCTTAATATTTTCTTGAGCAAAAGAAATTCACCCTTCAGTCAAGAATTTTTTTTTTTTTTCATTGTGGATATCTTTTATTAGCAAATTTTTGTAATTTTTATAAAGTTCAAACTCACTAGTATATTTAGGTCAATTTTTTATATTAATCGATCAAAAAGTTTCTTTATAAAAAATCGTTGATGAAAAAATTGCTTTATTTTGAACTTTTAAGTGCATATAAATCTTTAATCAAATTTTAGGATTTTTTGTTTATTTTAAAAATTATTTTTATTAGTTTAAGCATTGAAATTTTTTTTAGAATAATTTTTTTTTAAATACAACAATTGATTGCAATAATTAAAAATGAAAATTGAAAAATTGTATTGCAAATTTTATTTAATATTCTCAAGTATAAAAATAACAACCATCATGTTACTGTTGATATTGAAAATAACCTTAATTGAATGCTAATTATTCGGATAAATAAAAGTTCTAGCGCGTATATTGGATCGGTTAAAATAAAAATACAATGGAGAACTGGAGAAGAATAAATATAATTATTGGTACAATTAAAATTTCTCAACCTGAACCCGGTGCACCGTAAAAGGGAATTCCAAGAAAACAAATCGATATTTTAAAAACTGATAAGAATTAATTACCAAAAAAGGAGGATAAAAAATTATAAGGTTAGTTTTTAAAAATAAAAGCGACACTGATGAAGAAGAGAAGGAACCGAAGAGGCTTAAGCCAGAGTGGAGTCCGAGTGCATATCCAGTGCAGCTCGTATACAAGTTAAAGCAGTCATATTTTAGCCCTTGTTAGGCGGTGCAGGGTCTCTAAGGCGGGCTGGAAGGAGAGAAAATCTCTTTGACTCGCCGACTACGCGCCACTCGTGCACTGCCAGCATACATACTTGTATACACGCATATACATACATATCTCCAGGATTATCTTCGCGCCATCGGCTCACTTATTCCGTCCCCTCCCCTCGACAGTATCGCATCAATACAAATTTAATTTTAGTCAATATTTTAACGTTAATTAGCAGTTCGCATTACCGATCTCGACTTTGTTTTCGCTCTAAATAAGACAGTTTTAAAATTGCAAACAAGTACAACTTTTTAATATTACTTTTAAATAAGTTGCAGTATGTGTAGTGACATCTAGACGTCTTTGGTCTCTTTGAAGCCGCCAAGAAACTAAGACGGCTCAAGTTACTTACAAGCTAAACCTCTTTACATTAAAATGCTTTTTTAATTCGAGAATTAAACTTTTTTTCTTTTCTTTTATAAATTATTTTTTTTTTTAATATTCTTTCTTTGCTTGAGGTAAAAAGGCTAAGTGATTTTTATGGAAAAGAAGATTTTCCAACTTTGAAGTTCGGTGATTGTTATTGTTTAAAGTAGCAATGTTATGATCGTAGAATTACTGTTCTGAATTTAATGATATTTGGTAACATAATAATCTCATTTTATTCTTCAAGAGCTTCAGAGAATCAGTGAAAAAATATTGAATTTTTAAAATTTTTCTTTGACGTTAAGTCTTATGAGAAAATGCAGTTTTTACTTTATTTTATATTAATGAACGTTCAGACTTGAAAAATAAGAAAACATTAAATATTTTACATGGTTAAAAATCTATCAAAAATCATCTCTATAAAATTTTCTATAAAATTCTTCAAAAAATAGTTACAAATTCCACATTGACAAAAACTTGATTAAAATAAAAAATTCTTCTTAGATAAAATGAATTTTTCATCTTTAATAAAAATGATCGAATTTTTCAAAATAATATTTTTGCACTGAAAAAAAATTAATTTGATTCAAGAGAAAAATTTTTGAACCAAGAATATAATTTTGAAGAAGGTAATTATCTTGAATCAAGACGAAAAATTCTTGAATCAAGTCAAATTTCCTTAAATCAAGAATTTTTCTACTCAAATCAAGAATATTAAATTCTTCAAAATTATATACTTGATTCAAGAACATTTTTTTTCTATGTGGTTTAAGGAATTTCCTCTTGAGTAAATTTAATTTTTTAATCAGTCCACCGAGAAAAAGGTAGCATTTAACAGATTTTAATCTAAAAAAATTTCGATATTTCGAGGCCTTATTATTCATCAGTTTAACCTGAGAGTCTTGCGCCAGAGACAAGGAAATAGTAATGAGATTGTAAGACAACATCAAAACAAATCGAGAGTATGTTAATTCGAGGCTGGCATTAAGCATTCCTCATCGCTCTGCGTCTTTACATTTACATTCCTCTTACACGACGAGAGTAGAGAGTAGTGTATACAAATATATATATATATATGTAATACATATACAGCGACGTATGTAACACGTATCAGCACTTATTTACTTGCGTGAGCTATTGAGATAGTAACAAGAGCTCATCATCATTATTGTTGCGATCATCATCACAACATCCGGTCTGACTTATTGCAACGATAAACTTATCCCATCAAAACGAGCATCACCCGCGATCGCGGATCGAGATACAAATCAAAGACTTAACTCGCCGCAGTACAGCCCGGTAACTATTTTTAACTAGTTCAAGCCATTGACTCCTCAGACAGACTTGTTACCGCATCCCCGTTATCTTTTATTTCATTTGTTATTATCATTATCATTATTATTATTATTATCATCAGCATCATCGGTTAGTTATTTAGTTTTTGCTCGCGATTCCGAGCACCTGTTGCGTTTTTTCGGCGGCTCAACGAATAGTCTGACTCTTTGACTCTTGTTTCGGAGGTGGGTAAAAAAGGAGGCGTGCGTCAGCGTCAACCGGCAGCATAACATATCCCAAAACACGAATGGACACCTACTACCCCGATACTGATATACAGTCTCCACACACTGCCAACCGCCGCTCTGTGATTTACGGCATAATAAAGAGGTTGCATAATGCCGAGCAGCCCTCAGCCCGAGGCAAGGCCCGCGTGCTAAGGGACCAACGAGTTCCCTAGCAAAAAAGCTCGAGCTTGTATATTTAGATCAATTTGTACTCTCGGATTTTTTTTTTTTTTTAAATATTGAGTAAGTTTTTAAAATTTATTCAAAAGTTGCAAGATTAAAAAAATTTTTTTTTTTAATTTAATAATAATAATAATTAAAAAATAAATTAACTTGAAAAAAATATTAAAAAAAAATAATATTTATGATTTTTTTCCAAATTTTTTCAGTAATAATTTATTAACTAAAAAAATAATTATAAAATTATCAAATGTCTTTTAATTTTATCATCATCGATGTTTAGAAAATTTTTTTAAAGACGATTAATTAAAAAAAATCGGAAAATTAATGAGCTGTTATCTTTTAACATAAAAGGACTAACATAGACCCCGATTGCGTAACAAAATTTTTATTAAGGACTTGATGATTCAAGAAACAAAAAATGTAATTTTAATAACACGAATTTAAAACGACTTTTTCAAACGATCAGCGGCTTTCCTTTTAAATATGACGTAAAAATCTATAATGGAATATGAGATAGAGAGATAATTATAGGAATAAAAATAGGAAAATAAAGTTTTTGTTTGAATAATTACAAGGTTTTAAAAATTTTCTCGGTCAATACTAACCGCGTGTAAGTGTGAGCCGCAAATTAACGATAGGTAATTTCAATAATTATTTTTTCTCTGATTATTTAACGGGTTATTGCGGGTATATATCGCATCACATACGTTCATATATGTGGTAAATATATATATATATATATATATATATATATATATATATATATATGTATTATATACTATAAGACTAAGGAGGCGCGCGGTGTGTTGCGGGTCATTATGCTCGATCATATATCGCTTTCTCGCTCTAAAACAGAGGCTACGTCGTTCTTTAAGTTGTGTCGGCTTCTTTCATGTTGAAGCTTCTGTTTCTACGGTGTTTCCGCTGGCGGCTACTGTCCTGGAGCTCGTCGACCCTAATCGCCTTAGACGGTACAAAAGAGGAAAAAAGGTATTTAAAAAAAACATAATAATAACAATAAAAAAGGTACAAGACAAGTAAAGACAAAATGAAAAGAAATAACAAAAAAATAAATCCGAACTCTGGTGAGCAGCATTATCCCACTAAAGACCAGTGACTCAACAATTTTAATTTAAATATAATAGTATAAACAAGAAATAAGCCCTAAGTAGTACATGGTCGAAAATTTTCGAGTTTCCAAAATATTTGATATTAAATTATTGTTTATATTAATTTTTTTAATGCACAAAAAATTTTTTAAATTAAGAAAAATTTATTAAACTAAAAATTTCTTAGTTTAAAATTTTTATTTTAAATCAATTTAATTTTTTTAGCTTTAAAAATAGAAGAAAAATTTTTTTAACTTGATTTTAATTTTAAATTGACTCCAAAATAAATAATCTGTACCGAAGAAACAAACCAAGAGTCTATCGAGCGATAAATAAAATAACAAACTAAATAAATAAATATTGTTTATAGTTTATATGATTAAAATTCACTTCCGAATTTAGCTGTAAGGGTGGAACGAAATATAATCCTCTCAAGGCTGACCCAAAGTCGCTAGAGCATAAATTTATAAAGAGATAAATTATGAGGCGAGATCATATAATGCCGGCAGATCGGATCGGTAAAAGGAGACGAGGAGAGAAACAAGTTAAGAACGAGAAGAATAATAAGGATCCAGCTCTTTTCTGGCGTACCCGTGCATCAGCATCTGAATCAGAATAACCATCAGCATCAGCATCATCAGAGAACACAGCTACTGAATTGCCCGCTGATATCTCGTACTGGCTACTCTTCTTACAGCACACAATATGTATACTTCTACGGGAGAGTTGGTTCCATTCTAAGAGATCTTTCATATTTTCATCCTCCTCGTCTCATTTTTCAGGACTAATATTTCATCTCTCTGTCTCTTTCGAGCCCGAGTCACAGCTCTGCTCGTATCTCCGATGCGGTTGGCTAACTCGCCCCAGGTGCCGACAAACTCGTCCACCTCGTATCGGTCTTCTTGCTCCACACTGCTCGTATCGGTGCAGGGCATCCCTCCAGTGATAGTGCTAGTGGCCATCAACCGGGTTTAGTTTCCGCGGGTATCCTCAAGACCTCAAGATCCACATTCACATCCACATCTACCACCATTTTACGTCCGCGCTTATTCTTAACTACACACCGTAATCACTACCACCCAATATATTCAACGTTTACTGTCATTACCGTCAACTATTTGTCAGAAAACCTTTAATTATTTAAAGATTAACATTTACATACAATTTAAACATTAAACTGCACATCCGACAGCCATCAAATTATCTTTGAATAATTTCATTTAATTTTTCAGCTTAGAGAAAATTTTACAATTTAAAAAATTGAAAAATTTTATCTCATTAAAAAAATTATAGTATTTATAAAATGATTTTTTTATTAAAAATTTAATAGCTTTATACTTATACACTGAAAAAAAAAATTATTTTAGTTTTTAAAATTTTTATTAGGTTCATTTTAAAGCTACTAATTTGAATAAAGTTTAAATTTAACTAATTTAATTTTAAAAAAAAACCTTTCAAATTTTTTGATTGATATTTTTTCAATGGAAATAAAATTTTTTCAACAAATTATCTTAACGATCCATAAAAAAATATACTCGGAAACTTTTAGATATTTTGAATGTCTATAAAAAATAAAAATTTAAAAACCGTGAAAAATCCGGATTAACATAAAAAGAAATCTTGTTTTTCAGATCGCAGTGTGTCTGATAGTCCTAGCCTCGGTGTCTTGTGAGGACTCTGCGTCTTCGGGGGACTCAAACTCAGCGGTCCCGGTAACGGCGAGCAACACGATCCAGAAGCTAAGGAAAATCCTGGAGAAATTCGGCGAGGAGCAGCAGCGCGGTCTCAAGCGTGTCTTTCTAAGTAATCGATCGATCACATGTAATGACGGCTCGCAAGCCGGATTTTATCTTAGGAAATCCCACGGTTCTAAGAAATGGATTGTGTTTCTCGAGGGCGGATGGTGTTGCTTCGATCAGAAGACCTGTCGACACAGGTGGATCAAATTGAGGAATTATATGACATCTACCAATTGGTCGGAAACTCGAGATGGTAACTACTTATTTTTATTGTGCAATTTTATTTATTGCTAATTTTATTTAATTTTATACCGTAAAAAATTTGCGGGGTCGATTTTTTATTGATGTAATTTCTTCGGAGTAAAATTCACTCCAAGAAAATTTTTTTTCATTGAATAAAAATAAAAAAATTGTTAAAAATTTTTTGAATTAATATAAGCTTTTTTTTTTTAATTTGATAAACCAAATTTTTAATATTTAAAACAAATGCATCGATATTTTTTTTTTATTTCGAAAAACTGATAAATTTTGTCTAAAAAAATTTATTTATCAAAAAATTCAAAAAATTTCCATATAAAAGACAATAAAGTAGTTAATTTTAATTAATTAAACGTAGTAATGTTAATATTTTATTATTTTTTACTTTCCACGTCAAGATTTATTTAAAAAAAAATTTTTTTATTGCAGTTGGTGGCATTCTGTCCTTAAATCCTCAAGAAAATCCTTATTGGTGGAACGTCAATCACGTGTAAGAATTTTATTTATCATTATTAACTTCGATAATTTGTTAAAAACATGTAAATTATAATTATAATAATTTTCAATGAACAGATATGTACCCTACTGCACAAGTGACAGCTGGAGCGGCACCAGGTCGTTTCCGAACGAGATGTTTTCATTTATGGGAGCTGAAATAGTCTCCCAAGTGATTAGGGACCTGGTACCACTTGGTCTGGACACCGCGAGCAGTCTGATGCTTGCAGGAAGCAGCGCGGGCGGAATGGGAGTGATGTTGAACCTAGACCGGGTCCAGAATCTGATCCACCATGAGCTGGGTCTGACTAACACCGTTGTTAGAGGAGTCAGTGACTCAGGATGGTTCTTGGACCAAGAACCGTATCCACCAAGTGGCGGATTATTGCCCGGAGAAACTGTAAAAATGGGCATGGAGCTCTGGCGCGCTCGAATGCCCACCAATTGCGTAGCTCAATATCCGAAGGAACCGTGGAAATGTTTCTTTGGATACAAGCTGTACCCAACGCTATCGAGTAAATATTTTTTTATTTATTGTTTGTTATTTAAATTAGATTTTAAAAATTGAAGGATTTATTAAAAAATATGGTTCTAAAAAAGCAATTTGTTATCAATTACAGCACCATTGTTTATATTTCAATGGCTTTTTGATAAAGCGCAAATGAAATTCAACAACGTTGGTACACCCTTGAGTAAGGAACAATGGGATTATATCCACAGAATGGGTCGAATTGTACGTCAAACGCTTGATAATGTCACTGCTGTATTTGCGCCGAGCTGCATAAGTCACAATGTATTAACAGCTCGTGAGTGGCAGCAGGTGAAAATTAATCAAGTTACTGTACCTCAAGCGTTACATTGTTGGGAAAGAAGTTTTTCGCATCGTAGCCATGGGTATGTTCATTTTTTGTGATTTTTATTTATCAAATTATTATTTTTTACTAATAAAAAATTTTTTTTTAATATTTAATAAGCTTTATTAGACTTTTGAATAAAAAAGTGCACAGAAAAAAAAATATTGAACTAAAAAAAAATCATTTTAAAGAATTTAATGGCCTCTAATTAAGGAAAAAAATTTTTCAGTTCAAGAATTTTCCTCTTAATTAAAATTGATATTTTTTTTTTCAATGTTAATATATAAATTTAACTTTGATACTTTTTATAATTCTATAAATTCAGTATAAAATTTTTTTTAATGATATATATGAGTTGTTTTTAAATAAGAAGATTTAAAAAAATAAAAATTATTAAACAATGATTGTATAGTAATTTTTTGCGGTGAAAATTATCAATTTATTGTATGTAAATTTATTCACAGTTAATGATTGCATTTTTCTTAATAAAAAAGAAAAAAAAATGAATTTTTTAACAATTATAAATTAATTCTTCTATAAATGTTTATCTACCGAGTGAGATTATTAATAAAATATTTACTTTTTACATTAGTTTCAGCAGCAGCACACAAGTTGAAACTAATCAAACTTGTACAAGGCCAATTACAAATCCGTCATTGCGGACGAATGAAACGAAGAAAAACACGACTCTGGCAACATCTGCTGTCAGTGGAAATAATGATAATGGAAGAAAAGATGATGATACAGGTGTTAATATAAAGCAAAACATAAATGTACTTGGGAGAAAAAATCGTGTTAAAGGTACGATGAGCCACAACAATAACGGTTCGATTGACGGCAGAGGCAATAAAAAAAGGAAACGTAGGAGAAAACATAAAGATAATAAACGTCAGAGGGAACGTAACAGAAATGGAAAAAATAGAGAGAGAAAGGATAAGCGACAGAGGAGGAAAGAAGGTTTGTATTTATTTTTATAAATTATTATTTAGTCTCAACAATAGAATTTTATCAATTTAATATTTTTTCAGAGCGGAAAAAAAATAACAACAAATATATAAGCGGTAATAATCATCGCACAATGTTGAACGACACACGACCACAACGTTCGTTGTTACCGAGCGGTAACAAAAAAGAAATAAAATGCATCGCGCATAATTGTCATCACCGTCACACCGATAATTGCTCTTGGCCACAGTGTAATCACAGTTGTCCAAAACTTCACAATCCGTTCACCGGAGAAGAAATGGACTTTATAGAATTATTAAAGAGCTTCGGACTGGACATGAAAAGCGTCGCTATCGCCCTTGGTATCGACATTCACACTCTTAATAACATGAACCACGCGGAGCTGCTTAATTTATTGACGCAGCAATCTAACTAGCGCTTGAACCTGATCAAGACACCTATTTTACGATAAAATAGGTGCCACCAAAACTAGTGTATATAGTTTTCCACGAAAAAATTTATAATATAGATTTATATATAATGTTGTACACAAGTTTTTAATTATTTATTTTTAATTAATTATTAGATATTTAAGAGATTAATTTTTTGATGTTTTAAATAATTAAGCAATAGGGTAGCGGTTGAAAAAGTTTTTAAAAATAATTTTTTTTTCAAGATTTATAAATCTTTATATTTTTTATATAATTTAATTTTTTGATAATTACTTCTGTAAGAAACTTAAGAAAAAACCCTACCTTATTTATAGACTGATTAAAGTATCTACCTCAGCAAATAAAATTGCATTGTCCTTTGTACGTAAAGTTAATAATAATCAAGCATATATCGCACAATGTAATCTAATTAATTAATTTAAAAACAAGCTATGGTTATACCTTAAATATATATGATATATTTAATTATATACATGGATTATTGAGTAACATTACCATTTATTTTATTTATTTATAATTTGAAACAGTAAAAACAATTTTTTTTCTAACACAAGCCTCTAAAAAACACTCAGATTTTTTATATTTATTAATTTTTAATTTAATAAACTCATCATTAATGTTATCTGTTCATAAATATAACTTAATAAATTATAATTTAATATTATTGATATGTAAATCAATAGTTGTAAATATTTTGAGAAATAAACAAAGTGTTTTAAATATTCGTTTTTTTTCTTTTAGTTTTAAGAGAGCAGTTTTATAAAAATTTATGTCAAAAAAAATAATTAAAAAAAATTTTTTTTTATCTTAATAAAATTCTTAAAAATTATGGTAAATATTTACAAGTGGAGTCAAGCATTTTTTTCATTTTTTTAAACGAAATTTCTATTTGATTTTATTGATATATTTTTTTTTTTTCAAAAAAAGTTAACAATTTAAAAAGAAACAGTTGATTATCACAATTTTAACAAATTTTCAAAAAAATTTCTAATTTTTTTAGAAAATTGTGATATTAAATTTTTTTTTTAATTGTTTGTTTTATTGTGTACTTTTCAAAAAAAAAAAATAAAATAGAAATTTTATCCAAAATTTTTTCCAACTTTTGAAGGCAAAAAAAATTATCGAAATCTTTATTTTTTTTTTTTTTACATTTTTTTATCATAAATGCGCCGTAAAAACAAGTAGAATAACAAAAAATTAAAAAATGTTCATTTTTCACGTAGTTATGGCCCCAAATAGGGTTGACCCCACTTGTAAATAATTACCAAAATTATTAAAATTATTTCTCTAGAATAAATGAAATTTTTTTATCAGTATATAAAAATATGCGTATGAACGAATGTGTACAGTAAGTTAAGTTGTAATTTGAGTAATACATATCTGTACACTTGTGTATAAAGACAGGAAACGATATATAATGACGTGGGGAAGAGCATTATCATCACCAGAGAGTAAATGCGAGTGAAGCTTGATGATGCATGGTAGTATAGTTAGGTATATATCCCTCTTTAGTTCATATCGTTTCATGTGCGCTTATGTCGGGGGCAATTGACGAGGAAGTAATGAGTACCTCTAAAGCGGGGGCTGTATGTGCGGTTCGTAAATCTCGATTAAACTATGACTAGCTGCTGCTGGTCATCAGTTGCAAGTTCTAATCCCGCTGTGTTTCATTCTCTTTTTTTCTCATACCCCGCCAGTCAAATTCCAATAACAGCCACCCAATATTTATTTTTTTGTATTAATATTTAGCCCACTATTCCCCAAATAAATGACTCTAATTGTACTGGTCAAAAGGTGATTTACTGGAGAAAATGATTGGTAAAATCTTACTCGTGATTTTGACTGCAGACGTGGGTAAGTTGCTTTATATTTTATTAACAAGAATAACAAATATCGTTATGCAATGTATAATGATTATTCTTCTTATTGAAATTCAATAATCAGCTCGGTCAACACAGTGCGGCAAGGTATGGTTGACGGTATCGTCGCTCTGGCGACCGATTGCTGCGAGTGATAAAGTTATTGACGCGGAGCTTGAAGTTAATTGGGATTTAGATTGTCCAACAAATATCGAGCCTCCCGACACTATTAAAGTCTTCAATGCCGATCCAATTCATAGTAATTATTCTTTTTACTTTTAAGTCTCGTTTTATTATTGTAATTGCGAAACTCTAAAAATAACAAAAGTTTTATTGTACTCGATTCTGGAAAATAAACTTTAACTATTTGAACTTTCGTGATTTAAATCTTTATCAGTCTGAACTTTAAATATTTGAACTCATTAAATTTTCATTTTTTTTTTTACTAAGAAGTAAGAAAATAAAAAAAGTCTTCGATTTTTTACTTAAATTTTCAACAATTATAACTTTAAATATTTAAACTTACACAAAATTTTTATCATTTTTTTAAATAAGAGAATATGAAAATAATTTTCAATTCAAATTTTGATTAATTAAAATTTTAAATATTTAAACTATTATTTAGTAAAAAAAAATTTTTTTAATTTTTTTTATTCCAAGTTAAAATTTCTTCTTTAAACCGTAAAAATAAATTTTACTATGCACAAAACCGAGTTCGATAATTGAAATTAATTATGATTGATATTTCAGACAAGAGCTTGCAGCCTGAATTGATACTGACACTCGCCGAACATCCGGAAGGTTATTATCGTACAAATATTGAGGTCGGAAGGCCTTCTCTACCAGGTGGTTGGGATGCTACTGGCGGTGCAACACTCCCAGGACCACATTGCTTGAAGCATTACGCAGCTTTGTACAAAAATAATATTTTTTTGACCAGTTCGTGCTTGCAAATTTGGCCCACTTGGATGTACGACCTCAGGTGTAAATTCTTTACAAAACCATATTATCATTATTATCTCAACTTAGTAAAAAATATTTTCTATTTCAATAAAAAATTACAGACGGCAACTGGGAAGACTACCAATAGGAAGTTTGATGATTCCCGGGACCCACAACTCGGGTTGTTACAAACACGAAGACTTGACGCGAAAAGACGCCTTCCAAAAGTATTTATTGACCCAAGATCGTGATGTATGGACGCAATTGGTTCACGGGATCCGATACCTCGATATCAGAGTAGGCCATTATCCTCCGCCGATGCATAATGGCTCTCACAGCGCCGACGACGCTAATCATACCTCAGGAAGGTTTTGGGTTAACCATGACGTAATACGAATCAATCCTCTTGCCACCATTATTCGGGATGTAAGGAATTTTTTGGATGTGGCTCGTGGTGAGGTTGTAATCCTCGATTTTCATAGGTAATCCTTTATATCAATAAAATAAATTTATCAATTTATCAATAATCAATATTAACTAGCAACTATGTGACTACCAGGACTTGTGAACTATAAATAAATAAAATTTTGCTTTGTTAAATTACATTGTATTTTTTTAATTATTGACGTTATTAAAGATATAAGCTCATCCTGATGTTACACTCATCAAGAGCTTTCATTTGAGTACCCACATGCATTTTTGATATATTTTTCTATATATACATATATATATATATATAAATATATAAAAAATTGAT